CCCCCCCGCCCCGCGTTTCTTAATATATGCTTTCATTTTTCCTAATGTCAAGAAAATGTTGAGTTTTCAAACTGGAAGCTTAACGCGTCTCAATGTTTGTTCTCCAGTTGCTCAAAGGTTAGGCACTACAGGGGGTGAGTGGTTAAACTGCTCACAGATGCCTTGCAAATAGATGCTCCTTCATCTCTGCTCTCTGTGTGTTTCACAAAATAATTTTATCCACAGTTGGTGTTTATTTACAATAAATACTTGTAAACAACTGGTGGTATTGTGCATACAGATGTCAGACTGCAGCGTGTGACATTTGGAACTGTAAAGAAACTTTCAGTTTCTGAAAACAGTTAATTGTAGTGGATGCACATTTTCTTAGAAGACGACTGTTTTTTCTAATCAGAGGCAGGAATACTCATTTGCATGTCACAGTATCATGTTGCTCCTTGAAAATCAAAAGAATATATTACCTCTAAGCAAGGCTGACACAGAATTGACATTTCAGCAAGAGCAGGCAAGCTGGGGCAGAATCCCCTGCAGGCCTTCCTTTGGTTTTTGTTTTCTTTTTGTTTCAACAACCTTTAGCAAGTGTTTTCCTGTTATATAAAATTTTACTGTAGTGAAAACATTAGAGATCAAGAAGTCAGGTATGTCTTGAACTTGCCATCAGGATTATGATGTGCCTTCAAGCTGTTTTACTTTCTGGGGAGGCAGCAGTTGTTTTTAAAGATATCGTGTGCCTGATGTGAAACTCAGTGTTTGTCCAGTAGTGGAAACGCTGTCTCTGGCCGTCAGCCTGTTAGGTGACTCAAGCCTTTTTGCGGTTAGATAGTGTTTGTGGAAGAAGACATGCCTGCATCAAAGTGGCAATGCCTTTGCTTGGTTGGAACAGGACTTGGTCCCAGCTTGCACAGGTTTTCCCTCTCAAAGCATGTGTCCTACTGAAGATGGTGTCAATTGATGCAAAATTAGTCAGTTTGTGAAGAGGTTCTCGTGTAGAAAGTGGAAAATACGTTTGAACTTGGCTGTTCTGAGATGGATGATGGTAACCACAGTATCTTGGATAATGCGAACTTCTGATTAGGGTTTTAAAATGTTGGTGGCGGAATAGCTGTTATCACCAATGGAAGGAAGATGAGCAGTTGTGATGCAAGTCTCAGGATACCCCTGGCTGTTGGAAGCTTGTACTGAGCTCTTAGTGCTGGTTTCCGCATGCCTGCGGCTCTTGGTGCAAATCTTCTGCTCTCTATGCTGCAGGTGGGACAGAGGTGTGAGGGTTTTCCTGGGAGGTGGGGGGTTTATGTTGTTCTGCAGTACTAGAGGGGTGTATTTAGTATGCATCTCTCTGTGTTGCTGTGGTACAAGCAAGCTTGACTTGCATGTTGGAACGTAAGGCAAAGCCTTTCCTTTGTATTTCTGTCACAGCATTTCTAATACATGCCCTTTAAACAGACTGATAGCAGTTGCATATTTTTCTGTGCCTTTAACAGTAACAGCTTTTTAGATTTATTGCAGGTATTTTGTTTGTGCAAGACTTGGAACTTGACAGGATGCACACCCATAGCCAACAGATTCATTATTCACCATAGAAGAGAGGCTGGCAGGTAGAAAAGCAACTGGGGATCTCATGTTTCAACTAGGAGGCATAAGTGTTATCAGCCTTGACCATCAAGTAGTCCCTTTAAAGAAAAGTATGGTACACCTAAGGGTAAAATATTCTCATGATACCATGGTTCTTATTCACATAGTTCTGTGAAAAATGCTTGTTATGCCATGTGTAGGTGTATGGAAACAAGCAAGTATGCATGTGTGTATGTATGTATATGTATGTGTGTAAGAAAGTCAGGTATTTTAATGCAGTTGGTATTTGCAATACATCTGGGCTATGGTTCTGTACATCTTGAGTCACGTATGAGATACAGGTGGAGGCTTCTGTGCTTTGCTAACTTGGACATGTCCCTTGTTTTCTTTTTTTGTTTTGTTTTTTCTTAGGGTAATAAATGCAGGGAAGAGCACACACAATGAAGATCAAGCCAGCTGTGAAGTCCTCTTTGTCAAGAAGAAAGCTGGAGGCGCTAATTCTACACCAAACAAGAACTCTTCAACAAAACGGAGGTCGTCGCTGCCCAATGGAGAAGGTCTCCAGCTGAAAGACAATTCGGTAAGCAGACTTCTGCATCTTGTCAGTGGAGAAGCACGAAATAAACATAAAAGGATGTGGCAATATGACACTAAAAGATGTTTACTGAATGTTTCATATATTTTCAGTTACCTTTTATTATCTCTGCTTAAATACAGAACACAACTGTATTTTTCTTAGTTCTACTACTTGTTTTTTAATTTCTTGCACTGAAAAATGCTCCTTGCATCTAAGACATTTTAGTTTGAAGATGGGGAGGGGAATACTCCTTGGATTTTCCCTTTTGTTTCATTTCTGAAAATACAATCTTGAGAAATTTAACTGCTGCAGAATACTGAGAGTTTAATGGCTGTGGTTGACTTGTCCAGTGACAGTCACTGCAAGCGTAGCAGTATCACTGTTTATACAGTCATACAATTTTATTAAGGGTTAGACAGTCATTTGGGTTCTTTTCACTGAAGCAGTATCGCGTGTAGCAAGGTTGGTTTATGCAGACAGGGTAAGGTTGTCCAGCGCACTGAATTCAATGATTTTTGCGGACTATGGCTCCTCTCTGTGTGTGGAGAGTGATGTACGTCATGCACTTGTCTACTGGCAGTCATCTGCTGTTCTTCATCTGTCTTGTATCCTGACTGGCTAATTACTTCATTTGCTCTTTAAGCATGAGCTCAGGCTCCAGCAATGATTGATAGTCTGTGTTCGATTCAGACATTTAGCCACGTAACACTAAATGCCCTATCTGAATGTTGGAGTCAGACAACGTGGATATGCAGTCTTTCTGCTGCTGGGAGAACACAAGTTCTCCCTAAGTGATAATTAGTCTTTCAGTGGACTGTAAGTACCCTTTATTTGGGTTTTTTGGGGTTTTTTTGTTTTTGTTTTAAACCACGTTGTGATTAGCAGTCTGCTTCAGTCTCTCTCCCAAAACCTCATGGCTTGGTACACCTGATGGCTGCAGGGGTCATCGGGGTTCTGAGCAACAAGCATTCCTCTTGCACTGTGTCCTTCTCCACCTCTTGCTTCTCCTGTTCTGTTTCATATTTCTTCATTGCTGCAACATTTTCAGACTCCGACAGATTTTCCAGGTTTGCAAATAGCCCTGTTCTTTCCTCTTTCAAATCTTTCCTTAAATCACCTGTCCCAGTTTCTGTGTGCTGATATTCCTCATTGTATTCAGACAGTCATGGTTTTTTTTCAAGTACATATTTGAACACTGCTGGATAAAGAATTGTGCCCTGTGCTTGCTGGGACTAGTGAGTTCTGCATACACTCATGCAAGGCAAAACAGAATTTGTTTTAACAGTCCGCATTTTAAAAAGTCTTTCCTAGAAAGCCCATGCAATTGTCTGCTATTGGCTCATGCAGATGCTTCGTTCCATGAGTGTATTTAAACATAATTAATGCATACAAAAATTAATGAAGCAAGCATTTGGCCGCAGTACTTGTTCGTGTATATAAAACACATCAAGATAAGCAACAACGTGCTTCGTCCAGGTAATGGGTTTGTTTGACTCAAAGGGCATTGCTGTGTCATGCACACAGCACACTGCAAAGACCCCTGTGCAGACACCAACCCGGGCAGAAGCATCTTGGTGCTGTGCAGAGGTACTCGCTCTGATCTAACACCACATTTAATTTCCAGGCCTACCTGGTCAGGGGCCTCTGCATCAAGGATGTGGGTGAATGTAGCTGTGAATTTGCCTGTGTTTTCATATTTTGGGGGCATGCTTGGGACATGGGACAAAGAAAGCTTTGTAGCCGTGTTTCACAAAGTCCAGTTAACTTCCAGCTTTGAGTAGTATCAGATGCTTCTTGAGCACAAAAGGCACACTATGTTGTATATACTATACTGCATGGTTAATCATCTTCCTCAGAAGGAACTTTTTTCCAAACATTACATAGTTAATATGTTTAGATTGCATTAAAAATACAGGGGTATAAAACTATTTCATTATTGAAAAGGTGTCTTCACTAGCCTTGATGGTATCCATCATTATTGTCATACTGTGATGATATCATAATGGTAGGGTCTATAAACTGACTGCATATTTTTGAAAGCTGTTCTTCTTATCCATTTTGAACTTAATGATTGTCAGCCTTGTTAAATATCCAGTTGCCCTGTGTTATGAGATATATCTCGTGGAATTTTTTGATTTCTCTTCCTCTCTTTATTGGTGTATTTCCTACTTTGATTCTATATCTTTTATCTCTATTTTGGAATAAACAGCCACTCCCTTTCAAGCTTCTTGAAAGAAACATTTTTATTTCAAATCTCCTGTTCTTTCTTCTATTTCTGACACATTTTGACCAGAAATGAGCATAATGTCTGAAGTGAGTAGCCAGCTGATCCGTATAATATAGTATACTGTTTTCATGCTACTTGTTATTGTGTTCTTTATATGTTCTCTTCTTATCTACAGATTTACTTCTGTTTTCTACATGACACTTGAATGAGTGCTATAGCATTCATTATTTAGCTGTGTAAAACTTATTCTACCGTGTTATTAGACCACAGCATGTGAATTTAAATTTGTAATATATTTTCCCAAAACAAGCAGTGTATTTCTGGAGAAAGTTTTCTCCTAGAGGGCAGTCTTACACTAGCAATTAGTAGGATTTTTTCCTTGGTACCTTTCTTTGCTAGTTGAATATATTTAAAAAGGAAAAAAAGATGTATACATTTCTGTAATGTATCATATGTTTACGTTTTCATATTTTTATACTGTAAAGTATAATATTGTGTTTTGTCCTCACATAGCATTGTTAGCAAATATTTTTTAAGGAGTCTATGAGTTGGTGTTAAATGTGATAAGGGTGCAACTTACTCTGTATCAATAGGATGTAGAATTCAGACTTGAGGCACTACGGTGAATGGGATAATATCATCCCAGCAAGTATTTAGTAAGAAAGCCAGAGGTTGAATTCTGTAAATGCCTCCTAGAGAAATCCCACCGTAACACACGATCTGAAATAATCTGAGTGGTGAAGCACCTTGTAGAAATATTGAAGGAAGAAGGGATGAGTTTATTGAGTATTTGTCCAATGAAAAGAAAAATTTATTCTTGTTCTTGCATAGTTTTTTTTAAAGTGTGGAGCACAAGAGAACTAGGAACTGGAACTTAAAGTGTCTCTTAATTTAACAGAGTCCATTTCATTCAGATTTTTCTTTTTTTCCATAGACTCTGAGAAGGCCAGATGCCATCTTTGTTTTACCCTGCTTTCTGGGAAGTTTGTGAAACTTAACTGGCAGCTTCATCTGAGGTTGTGTGATTATTGTTATTTAATGCTGACCCTATCAATGCAGCCCCATGCTTTGGCAAGGCAGCATAAAGGAGTCGGAGATCCACAGGTTGTCCGTGTGGGTTGGGTGCTGCTATCACGGCCTTGACTCTGCAGGTAGACTCTGGAGAGCTTTCGAGGGTGAGAAGGAGGAGGTGATGGGCCAGAAGTGAGGAGATGGAGAAGTGAACATTTCTTCAGCCCCGACACACACAATAATCCAAGGAAACCTGTTAAATAGCGTAAGTAGGTTTTTCTTCTTGAAAGAGCAGGTGATTAACTGAGCAGGGCAGCGAAAGAAAAGGCTCTGCAAATTCAACCCTCAATTAATTCTCTCCCCTTTCCCCCACCCCATTCCACTGCTGCTTGATTAATCATGTTTGCCCTCTGTCCCCATTCAGGAGCATTCACTTTAAATTGCACAGCTTTTTCACTGGCACTATTTTTAAATGCCTTTAACTATGAGGTACCTTGCTGATGAATACTGAAGACCATCAGTGGGTGAAGTGGGAATCCTATGCCAGGATATTGTCATAGTGACATTCGGGTTGCAGGACTTAATGTGATACATAATTAATTGTCATTGTAATGTGAAGATACATAATTATTAATTCTGCAATTTTCTTTGTCACAGAGATGGGACAGAGTGTTTGTCTTGTGTGACACAAGGCTGATTGCCTACCACAGGTAGCTGAACGTATCATCAGTAACGTGAGGAGGCTTTTCTCTGAGGATGGGATAGCAATTGCTCACCCAGTTCAGATTTTGAGAACTAAAGACACGCTCTAATGCATTTTGTGAGTATAGTTCGTGTTTGGAACAATAGTCAGAGTAGGTTGTGGTTTTCGGAATAAATCGTTAGTGGCAACATGATTTATTTGCCTGTTAGGAATTAGCTTCATAAAAAAAAAAAACCTAAAAGTTTGCAGTGTAGGACCACTGTCTAGCTTACCTGAAAAACTTGTCCCAAATTGATTGCTATATATTGCCAAGGCTGCCCATTTTTTTTTTTTTCTGTAGTTGAGCCCTAATTATGTGTTTGTGTGTGTGTGTATATATGCATTTTCTTTCATGATTTCTCATCCATTGCTTGACCCGAAACTTTGCATGTCTTAATTATATTTAAAATTACAAAACCCAGGAGACAGCTGAACCTTCCTGAAAGCTGGGTCAGCAGTTGAGGAGCCTGAAGCTTATTAAATTTCCTAGTACATACTGGAAATTGATTGTAAGGTCAGTGCAGTGAAGGATCTGTTTGCTCTTCATGTATCTGGTAGCTATTCAGAATGTTGTTAAATCTGAATTTTTTGAAAGAAAATGTAAAATAAATCACTGTGATGACCAATCATACTCCCACTTGAGGGCTCTGTCCAGTTAAAAGAACAAATGGAGACTGATGTTTGAAAGACTGCTTTTGACAGAATACCGCCAGAGCTAGTAGAAATAGATGTTTTCTGAGAGTTTGCAGAATGTCAATACTTTTGGGTAGAAGTTCAAGCTCCCAAATGTGAAAGAGAGAACAGCCATGCCTATGGATACCAAAACAGGTAATCGCTTGGTGGCTACGGAGGTCATCTCAGCTGTGGGAGGAAAAGCAAGGACTTTTTCGTGCTTTTTGTCTCATCTGTGCGCCCTGACTGCCGGCCCTGTTTGTTCTCTGAGTCGCTGCTTTGTGTGCACCATATATTTAATTCTCATCAAATTGGTATGGTTTTGGAGAATTCATTTCTTTCTAACAGAAG